GAATTGCTCTTCTGGAATCTATCTTGGTTTTGACCAGAGGAATTCCTTCTACATTTTCACTCTCACTGCACATATTTGGCCGTTTTCTAGCACTGTACACAATATCATCATTGCCTTCCTCTGCTCGAGCATGCCTCCTGCCTGGGACTTCACTCTCAAATCTGCAGTTTTCTGTACTACCACTTAGTTGCCTTTTATATCCTTTTTTAATATTTGATAAGTTTACAGTCCAAGAACCAAGACCATTACGATGTTGAATGCTGCACCCTTTTTTGTTTAACACCCTAGAAGACTCAGAAGACTGCTCCCCATTTGATCTATGTAGTCTGTCTTCGAGTTCTGACTCACTGCTGATCATAGAGGATGTATCAGACTCAAGAAAAGATTTTGGGTTCCACTGTACTCCCATCACTGCCAAATCCTGCTGGAGAAGTCCCCTGGCTTCCTCCACAATGAGGGAAGCTGCTTCTCTTTCAGTTAAGCCTTTCATTCCAGCCATCCAGATGCTGCGCACAGTCCGACGCTCCTCTGCGGATTCTTCATCTTCATCCACAGCCCTACGAACGCTATGGGAAAGGTAACAGACAGATGTAAGCATTCATGCAGAAAATAACAAACAGTACAAGGAGCTGGCACTACTCTGCTCCGCTCCCATTTCAATTAGCTTCACAGAAGCACTATATGCAAAATATAATGCACTTAATAGGAAATAACTATTTCAGTTTTCTATATGTGAATAGATGTCGATGAAAGATATTACTGGCTGCATATCCCAGAAGCATTCCCAGGCTTCTGTGTTCAAACAAGTACCCCAGATGAGTCCTAACTCCCTACTAGAGCAAGATCCAGGTCTAAATCAATCCTCCTCCATGGACTGTTTTCCAAAGAAAGGAAACTTCAGGAGCATGAACCAGACAGGTGTCATGACACAGTCCAACAGGTACTTGATCAAGGAAGCTGGTCATTGCACTAACACAAAAATCACAAGAGGATCTCAAATGACATACAGTATAAATCATCAACTCATTTGATCATATGGTGGACCTGCCTTTTAGAGGCAGCAGAAGGTCTCCAGAAAGCATTAACAATTCACCCAGGACTAAAAAGTGCATTGAAAAGAGGAACAAGAAGAAAATTTAGGTCTCACAAACTTATGCTGCAAGCAAAAGATGCTTAATTTCAAAATAATCATGGAATGACTGTGATTGGTTATTTCTAACTAATGTTTGGCACCAAGTCCCAAAAGGTTGCCATATTTAATTACAGGTTTCATCCTGCAATCCTTCACCTTACAAACTCCTTTACTTGACTTCCAGACTTACTGATTTCTCACCTTTTGAATGGTACTGAATTCTTCAGAGCAGTTGCCACGTCATCAGGACTGGCTTTAGCAAGATCAGCCACTGTGACAAAGCCAGCGTTGTAAAGTGTCCTAGCACGCTGTGCATTCAGCAGAGACACTCGGACCAGGTCACAAAGCTCCCTATGAACCCCAAAAGTGAGGCGGCTCTGGAACTGAGAGAGCAACAGCTCCATGTTGTGCCAGCCCAGTCGATTACAGAAAACCGTTACCATTCCTAGAACACAGAAGTTACATTAATGTCTTAACTCCAGCTCCAGTGCTACTAACCTGGATTCATTTTTCACCCCCTCATCTGAACAGGCATTCACTTTACATTTCTCACCTTCCCATTACTTACAGAAAATAATTCATGTTTATTATAACTATGACTAGGAGCTGGTCTCGCGGAACTCTAATTAATCTAGAATTAACTAGTTTGTCATTGAGGTAGAAATTCTGAATGACAATGCTTTTTCAAAGATGCTCATCTTGAAAGTGTGAAGCACATGCATATGCTGTAACAGGATTCCTATCAACCAAACACACTGAAGAAAAGATGACAGAAAAAGCAGTGATGAGAGGCAGTAAGAGAAGCCACAGATCTTTGAGGAAAACCAGCACTGATGTCCATAAAAGCACAACTTGGCCTGCAGGACTTGTTTCTGAGAGCATCACAGGAGGTAGCAAAGCCTATGATAAAGGTTACAACTGCAGTCCCCAGCACATGGGAGGAGGAAAAGAGCAGGGAAAAGACAGTTTCTTACTCACAGATTGAATCTACAGAATATGAAAATAACTGAAAGACACAGCATCCCTCACTGTTTTTACAGTGATTATAGAAAACAACTTCTATCATATCTCTTAACTACATTTATATATATATGTGTGTGTGTGTGTGTGTGTGTGATGTCAACCATTCATTTTACTTCCCAAATTACTTTTGTGAAAATTATTAACACTGGGAATAGAGAATTATGAAACTGCTACAACAAAAAGTTATTTATACTACCTGAATTAAACTACTCTGCATCAGTTGGCATGACCTTTTCATTCTGGGGTTTTGACTCATGCTGCAACCCACACATAGGGTTTTGCAAGTTGAGCTAAAACTGTCTTAAAAATTGAAGACCCACTTACGGAGTAATGGAGGACTTCGGCAACAGAAAAAAAAATATCTCAGTCATATGGTGTGCTGTTACTTCTACTCCTACACAGCCGTCTTAAGGAAGTTCAGGGGGACAGCTATCTGACCTCTTGTTCTCTGCTGATAAATGACCCAGAAACTACTCACTCTGTTTTGAAAACTATAAACTTATACTTTCTGGCCAATTAATTTGCAACCAGGAGAAAGCCATGCTAAGTCTTGGAGACCCCAAACTTTACCCATGCTGAAAGGTACTCTTTCCTGATAGAGCAAAGCTTCAGAATGGACTTGTACTTAATTTCCATACTTAGTGTTGAATGAACTACATTCCTGCACAGTACAGAGATGATTTCCACAGACCTCAGCATGCTACAGCACTGCTTGATTCCACTCAGCTGGCCCCCTTCCCACAGCACACTTTGTGGTTCCATCTCAAAGCAGGGGCAACCACAGATTAAGCTATAAAGCTGGAAGTGGTTTTACAAGACTGATTGTTGTTAGTACCACACTGGCTATCTTATCTCCATATCTGGAAGGAAGGAAAGAAAACAGACTAGCCTAGGACTCCTGGGCTATTTTGCCCAGACAACTCACCTGCATAGGTGGCAGCAGATTGCTGCAAGGATTGAAGCTGGCCACGACTACAGCCATATTTCTTGGTCATATCCTTTAAGGGAACCTCACTGATTAAATCCAGAAGGGCAAGACTGGTGAAAAACCTGTAGAAGAAGTACACATGGAAATAAAGTCATCATCCAGGGCACATTAGTGTACATGGCAAAATGCAGTCTGATAGCATAGGACAGAATGGTACTATAGAAGCAGAAAAGATGGCTTCCAAAAACATCAGCACAAACATCTTGTGCTAACAGTGTTCTCAATATAGAGCAGACCAGATCCAGGTTCTCCGAGCTATCAGCTCACTCAGCGACAGTCAGTTCCTGAAAACAGACACAGAACCTGTCCTCTCCACATGTTACAGCCTCTAGTCTTTGCGCATTCACACCCATTTGTAGCTACCTTTTGTGGATGGCCATTTGTCTATGCTGTTTCTCTGTTTTAGCTATGATTTTGCCCTTTACTGAGCGAGCCAGAAAGCCTTCTTCAATCCCCACCAGCTCAGCCACACGTTTCATTGAGGCAGGCAGCTTCTCCCATAAGCAGAAAAACTGGTACCAATCAATTGTGGTCCACTCCTCATACACTGGGGTAACCTAAAGAAAATAAGACAATGCAAAAACCATTTTGTTTTAGAGAAACAAACAGAACAGAGCTCTGGGTAAACAAAAATACAGCCTAGGGAATGTGGTTAGAGCATCCTACACACTACTCGGAGACACTGACTCATAACCATGTACCCTGAAGAAAGTAAAAGCTCTTCTAACCTACTGATGAGATCTGACTCATATAGGTACTCTAATGATTAAACAATTTGGAATCTTTGTCAGATTGCTCCCTAAATCCAAGCCACTAGAAGATTTCTAAGCTGCATCTTTATTCTCCTTTAACAAAATAAAACATTCTTTTTTTAACAAAACTGACAGATATTTATCAACTTCTTAAAACCACTAGCAACCACACTAACCACTGCCACAGCATCTGATAAAGCAGGAGGGAACACAGGTTTTGCCAGGACTCGCTGAAGCTTCCATTTACCTGGAGTAAAAGAAATCTCAGCTTTTATTAACACTAACAAAAAAGGCATCTAGAGCATTCACACGGTTTTAGACAGAAAACTAATTCTGTTATCCTTCAGTTGGCACAGTCAGTTTCAGTATGAGGAGACAAAATGTCTTCATATCTGTATCGATATACTGCAAGATTAATTATTCTGAAATAACTAATAGTTGGTGGGAGGCATTTAACATAACGCAGAATACCAGATGCCTATGTAGCTGTAAATCATCCATGCCCCTTCATCTGCTAAGAACAAAAGTTATTAAGATAGGGGATTGTTTTTTTTTTCCTTTTAAAGAAAACTCTCTTCCCAGCCTACATTTGTTTTAATCAACTTTCCTAAAATATAAGGTCTTGGAATTCAGTCTCATATTTGTATAAGTAAAACATTCAAGCCTAAGAAAATTAAAAAGCATTACAGCAGATAATTTCCCTGTAGCCCATAAGGAACACATGGAGAACAATTCTTTTTTCTTTTTTAAAAAAAAGGCCAAAAAAAGCCACCAAAACTAAACAAACCTTCAGCCTTGAAAATGAACAGACCTACAAGAAAGTGTTTTAGGCTAGCTTCATTGAAGAGAATCTCAAGAACATTTTGTTCAACAGCGTATTTGATTTAAAATAACATTAGACAAGCTGCTGCCACTAAAAAATACAGGGTAAAAAAAAAATATTGCTATCACTGTCTCTGTCCAGAACACAAACAAAATTCATCCTTTTTTTCCTGTTTTGGAGATGCAAACAGGGAAAAAATCACTAATGCATGACACAAAACAGTCCACTTTGCCTAGTAGAAATAGAACAAAATATAATGTGGTCCTCTAAAACAGAGATATGGGGATATAGCAGACACTAGTAGATCAAAAAAAAAAAAAACTATCACTATCAGCCAATAACCAGGTTAATGAACACAGCAAGCAGAGACAGGCACCTTCAATCTCTTACTTGTCCCCTAGCTCAACAACTCCTGTCACCACAAGCATATTCTCCTTGGAGTGAGCTTTTTTTCAGGCAAGATGCCCAAATTCTGCCTTCAATTTATCAGCCTGGTAAAGAGAATACACTTTATACTTAAGAAGGTTAAAGACAACTGTCAAATTTTGGATGCTGATTGCATGATGGGCCTCTGGCAGCCATGAATCCAAAGAAGTTCACTGCAACTCCATCTTGTTTCCTCACTAATCTTCACAGGTTTGTAGCTTCCTCTCCAAAAGGTCTTAAATAGCATTGCCTAGCTTTTTAAGTGTACATGCACATAAGTCTTGAAAAATTTTGGGACACTTCCCCCTCAAAAGATTTATCATGCTCCTTCCTTTAGCCCCGGCAGCATCACCAGGCAAGTAAACTAAATCAGAGATGAATTTCGCTGTTACTGAATTGAAGAAAGGCCCACCCATAGGAAGCAAGCAGTGTAGTTCTCTGAGGCTTTCTGAAGGCAAAATAGATGCTAAAACCCCTCTGAGCCTCCAAGAGTAATCTGAGATGCAGCCTACTGATCCCAAACACACAACAAAACCAATTTGTTTCATCAACTTTAAGTATCTCAGAAAAATTACCATTATCCTACACCCAAAACTTACAAAGTTCTGAAATCTTTCGAAGTCAGGAGTGACAACAATGGGCTTAGATGGACATGCAGCACCTGCCTACACAATTGACACTATGGGAACAGACTAGTTCTGAAGAACATTCAATTTAGAAAATTTTCTTCACGAAGGATGAGCTAAGCAAAGCACAAAACAACCTCTATGTTCATGAAGCCCTCAAGAATTCTGCATTGTGCTTTCTCTCTTTTCTGTCATTTTGGCAGTACAAAATAAAAAACACAGAATGAGGAACCTACCAGATAGACAATATGCAGATCATTCTCTAGAACAAAGCTTTTCATAGCTCGCTGCAGGTCAGCAAAGATTTCCATGGCTTCAGTGGGTGAAAGAGAAGAAGAAAGAGTAGCTGAGCCAAGATGTGTTGGATGATAAACCTTTGCTATTTAAAAAAAAAAAAAAATACACAGAGAAACATTTAAGTGCAAGTTTATATCTCATTTTCAGGTTGCAATGTATTTTATAGATGTCAATTCTACTAACTTTTCCCAACTGCTTTTTCAAGAAGAAATAGTATATTTCTCCATTCTGAAGGCAGGAAAATAGAAACAATAAAAGGTTTAGACTTGCCTAAGTCTAAATTAGCCTTTTTGAGAGGCCAGATGACAAGTTTGGATCCCTCTAACTACCCAGACTAACAGTTGTGGTAGCTATTTGAACAAAACCCACTGGAATCCCATCTGCCATCCTGCCTAGGAGTTATCATGTTGAGTATTTCTTTCTTAGGAACACTAAGTATCTCCTGTCATCTTTTCTAAAAAGAGATAGAAATTAACCTGTAATGGGGATTCTTACTGTTACTGTAAGAGTCTCATCCTTAGCCATTTTAAGAAAATAGCCAAAATCAGGAAAAAGTGCAACCATGTACACCAAGCAGTTTTCTAGAAGAAACTTGCACTCTCTTAGAATGTATTGGTTCTTCTTCAGAAAGACAAAAATCATACTCTACAGTTAACATGCACAAATCCTGCAATAAAAGTATCCCTTTTTTAAAGATATTTGGGGAATTTGTAAATTAGGATGCATCAGTCTTTGAGGTGATGTGCAGAGAGGCCTTCCAAGAACACGTGCATGCAAAAAATGCTAAGGCAGGTATGAAGTCACTCTCCAGAAAGCTAAAGAATTCTTGACACACATGATTCTTTAAAATAAAACCAAAAATGCACAGAAGTTCTCATTGTAAAGTTACATTGAGCATCTATCCAGCTGCAGAAGATTTACTCATTCAAAACTGCTAACAGCAATCACTGGGAAGAACAGCAGCGTTACCTTTCACATCATTGCCGGAGTCCAGAATCTGAATGAATTCATTTTCCACCAACCATGCCACACAAGCTTCGATAGGTCCAGTCTGTGCTTTGTCTTGTGCTTTCTCGTTTTCCCACTTGTTTTCTTTCAAGCTGGATGCAAGAAGTGTGCAAGAAGCGTAGGTCTGCACATCATCTGGAGTGTTGGCCACTCCTCCCACTATGATCTGTTGAAGAAAACTACTTGTTCATATTGCCAGAGAAGCAGTACGATGGAACCTCAGATTGGAGAATCAAAGAGACTGATCCATCAGATATCTAAGTTTTAAAGAACCAGTACAAGAGGGGAACATGAGGCAAAGCAACTGCCAACCTTTAAGTACTTTTCTTGGCAAGAAGTTAGACACCTTAGCTAGAAGTAAGAGAAAGCATGAAAGAATGAATTATAAAATCTTATTTTGATAGTGGACATACACATAATAGCAATTTGAGACTAGCCCTAGGCATTTTGCTTAGCCAACATCGTCAAATACTTTTAAAAGTTTAAAACACAAACTGCAATTTTCTGAAGACGAAAAGGAAACCCTACAGAGGAGGGCATGCAAGAGGGAGCAAATTGGGTACCACACCTGTTTGTTCACCAAAAACGTATTTACAAAATTTCAATCATTTCTGTGCAAAAGAGGTAGATAAATTGAGGGGGGAAATAAGGAACCCTACAAGGTTCTACAAATGTCGTTAAGGCCCAATTCAGCCTACAAAGCCTCTGGGATCAGTAATTTATAAGCATCTCTCAGTTAAGACTGTTAGGTCACACGTGAAGTTTAAGAATTACACTTATTTCTGCCTGCAGTTTGAGTATATCTAAATGCAAAAGCAAAGCTTAGTAACCCTTGTTTGAGTGCTCACATCCTAATCTGCAGCAAGCAGAGACTGAAACATACCAAACAAAATGCTGAATACTGAAGCAAGCTGGCAGACCCAAGTAATTTTCTTCTGAAGCTGCTTGGGTTGACAAGGGAGAAAACAGAACAAAAAGAAAGTGCACAAAAAACATTTGATGGTATCACAAAAGAAACCATTCTACAATTACAAGAGTGCAAGCACAGTTCTAATCCCTCTCCACGTGTCCTGTACCTCAAGTATTGCTCTTTTCATGCTAGAAGCAACACCTTCCCCTTCTCTTCTAAGCAAACAACTGCAAACAGGCTTGAGAGATCCCTGAAGTAGAGCAGTTCCTTTTGATCTTTCTGAGGGCTTGCAAACTAAAATGCTCTCACCTATAGGG